AACCTGCAGAATTCCTCACCAAAATACCAGACGTTGTGACTGGCATAAATAAAATTGAAGATGGTGTTGAAAGCAGACATCAGCAGATCCGAAAGAGCCAGATTCACGATGAAGTAGTTGGTAGTGGTCCTCATCCTCCTGTGTGCAAGGATAATCCAGATAATGGTGACGTTGCCAACGATGGATGTGATAACGATGAAGGAATAGGTGATAGCCCACAAAGCAATTCTCCATCCTGGCTGGGTGAACTGGGTCACCCACGTCCAGTTGCCACTGTCCTCGAGGGAGTCAGCCTGTGAAACGTTGCTGGCATTAAAAACAGACAACATGCCCGTGGTTTTCTTCTTCGTCTAAGTGTAAAGGAAAATCTCCTGGCATCTGCTCATTTTCTTGCAGTAGATGCTGGTGGTATGAATTTCCATGCGTGTAACTAAGGGCTGTTAAAAAGACATCAGGCTGAGGTGTCTCATCCTCTCATCCTGTTTTCCAAGTGATGCAATGCAGTTCCAGGAGGAGATGAGCGATGCCAAGGGCGTCCTCCTTCTTCCCTGGCATTTTAACCTCCACTTGACGAGTAAAACCTAACAAACAACTCTCTCCCTTAAGTTTAGTTTTCCTTTAAAAAGGAAGAAAAAAGATGGAGGGAAGGAAGGTGTTTTCCAGGTCGGTGACAAGCGGTGTCTTCCTTCAGATTACTTTTAGGGTCAAGAAAATACAAGTAGAAGTATCAAGGCATAAAACACTTCAATCCAAGTGGAAATCCTTTTCCAGGGCAGGGATTTTCCAAAGAACCAGGTGTCTGAATCCTCTGCAGCGGGACTGAGGACATTTGCTTTTCTTTCCCTGCGTAACCACTGAACGTGAGGCAGGAGTCGCGCTGGGATAAAATCTCTACAGGTTTTAAGGGGACTTTGAAAGGAGGTGGAGTCTCTTCTGGGGAAAAACTAAACAACCAATTTGACATCAAATGAAACGTGGCAAAGTGGTACTTGAAGTTTTACCCCCCCCGCCCAGTTTTGAATAACCTCTGAAATGGTCACGCTGCTGTATCAGGATTTTACAGGCGTAAGTGCAAGGGTAGTGACTTTGCCAGGTTTACCGGTCCTGCAGTCCTTGAGTTTCCAGGACCCTCCCTTGTTTTCCCACGAGCTCTCACAGCAAGAGAGAAGCTACATTTAATGCAATTTAGCAAGGTCCTTCTCTTTGGATGGCTGATCCCCTTTCCCAGGGTATGCTCTAGAAATGCAGTGCCCTCACACAAGCAGAAGTTTCAGGGAAGAGGAACCCCTGACTCTGCTCGGAGCACACACTCTTGCTCGCTGCCAGCTCTAAAGTTCAGAGCAGAAACATAAGCAACACACTGAGGTTGAGAATTCCAAGAGTACTTGGCACTGGCTCGTGCCTGCTCTCCTGGAAGCTGAAAGTGCTTCAGGTATGAAAACCTGCTTTCACAATTCAGGAAGCACGCAGGGTGCTGGGAGGGCAGTAGTTTTCGAGCTCCTGGAGCTGCAGCTTGTGCCAGCCTCTCCTGTAACAGGGCAGTATTTATCCATTCAGGATCCTCTCAACCAGCTCAGCCTGGACTCTTTCCTTCCTTCATTAATTTCTGGAGGCAACCTTGAGATTACCCATCACCTAACACCTGCAACTCTTTAAAGCAGATACGGTATTGCCCAAATGTTGTTTTTTTAAGAAACCAATACCTGTAGTACTACATATAATATCTCCTTCTCTTCACAATACACTTCCTTGCAGGCAATCCCACTCACTTCCCTGCAGGCAATCCCACTCACTTCTCCACCCAGAAACTACAAAACCACACTTGTCCATATCTTCCAGCATGCATTGCAAGGCTGTTCCAGGCTCTTCTTCAAAGTCTTCCGCTGACACCTCATTAAGCAGCTTATGGACCTTTCACTTTCTGTACACAGTCCAGGAGGGCTCTTCCTGATTTGCAACATGAATTCAACAGCTAATAGTGTTCTTCAGATTATTTTTTTTTCTTCATCTCTCAAATCTCTGCAAATTCAAAGGAGAATCTGAGCAAACCCCTCCATATGTTTAGCTGGGAGCACAGCTTAAGTGCTTTATCAGTCAAGGAAAGCAAAACATAAGCAAGCACTTGGAAAAAGGGCTGTACTTATTGACCTTTCAATGGTGAAACCATAACCTTTCTCGGCTGACTTTGAAGACAGTCAGAGTGCCCAGGTTTCCTAGGAACCTTCTTCTGAACTGTCTGTCCTGCTTCCTGATCTGTTACTCAGGTGATAATCGGAGAGCAGTCACCCTTTGGTCAATATTTCATTGTACAAGTTAGGAGGGATTTGCTTTCCTTTATCCACACCCACACCTTTTATTCCTTTGCTGGTTGTGCATTGACAAGGTTATCATCCTGGAGCCCTGCCAGTGACTTAGTGTGTACTATCGGCCTTTTGACTTGAAAACTGGAGTGATTTTTGATAAAGGTGGGCTCCAAATTCCTCAGGGAAGTTGCATGTGCCTGGGACTGTGGGTAAAACCTGTCTATCCAACGATTTTGGAGTTGTACCAGAGAAGGAGACTATCTGGGAGAAAGGGTTTTGGGTTTGGCTGTTTTCACAGTTGTTTTTATTATGGGCAGGATTGTTCAAGGCCAAACGTTCCTGTGCTGAGTCACTGATCCCAGGTCTGAGCAAAGGGTGAGAGGTGCAAAGAAAAGATGCAGATCTGCAAGGTCAGGAAGGGTGATTGAGGGATGCTTTGTGTTTTGGAAACATAATACAAGGTAATACAGGCAGTAGAGGCTTTAATTGTATTGCGAGTTGAACTCTGTTTTGGGAGGAAGAACCTTTGTCCAGGAAACAGGTCTGAGAGCAGGACCATGAGCATCCACTTTGGGTGGGGGAAAGTGCAGCTGGCCTGCAGCTTTGTCAGCCAGGCATGGGCTGGAAGGAAGCAGAAAAATGCCTCTTGGTAGCTCTGAAAAGCTTTGGGTCTTTCTGACACACTTTCATGCAGGGCTAACTGTGGGTTCACTTCCTCTTCTGCAGTGCTCCTAATTCCCTGAGTCAAATGTTCTGCAGTTTATGGCTTTTTATGACTGTCCCTAGGACAACCCTGGTAGCCCTGGAGATGAGTGAGGACATGTGGAAGTTACTGATCCGTAACATGAACAAAACCACCACCAGCTGAGCTATTGGATGGCCCCGGGAGCAGATGCTGTAATGCAGGATCTGCCTCGATGCTGGCAGAGATGCCAGACTCCTTGATGGAAAACTGCAGTTCTGTGCTGCCTTGGGCTGAGGGGGAGAGAATGCAACCAAGAAGAACCCTCAGCACCACAGGCAGTTCATAACATCTTACTTTTAACCACTGTTTGCTGCTGAACTGTACTAATTGTGTCCAGAAATCTTGTCATTTCAATATACAGACGAGGTCTGGGATTCAGCAAAGAAAGGGATTAGTCAATTATTTTCATACAGTTTCATAACAGGAACCTGTTTTGATGCATTGGCTCTGTTCAGAGTGAAAACAACAGGAAAACGGACACTCCTTTTAATCAGCTTCCCCATCCAGCTGGACATGCCCTGAAATTTTATTTGCAGAAATCAGCACAAATGAACAGGTAAGGCATTAAGAAAGCCACACCAAAACTATTAATTTAATTAAATACTCAAACAAGGAAGATGTCTAAGTGACAGGAACATGTTTGGATGTGAATGACACTCACGAGACATGAAGAACCTGTGGCAGACTCTAATTCCCAGCACCTACACAGTATGTGATGTGATTTCCAGCCTGCACACCGCTGTGAGTGTCAGGGATATTTGCAAATCTGTCTGAAAATTGAAGTTGTGATATTTTAGAGGATGAATGCTCTGGGGCATTGAATTATCGTCAGAAACGTTACAGGTGAAGAGCTACCGGTTGGGTCCTGGGCTGGATTATTTGTTTTCCAGAAGCAGAATGTAGCACTGCATGGAAAAGCAATGGTGCTTTTCACAACAGAATTTTCCAGGGATATTTTTTAGCCTTTATAAACAAGGTTTTGGTATATTGTATGACCTAACGAAATGATGTGTGACTGACTGCTTACACAGTTTTACGTACACAGCTCGGAGGTTTTCCAGTCGCTTTCCTAGGTAACTTAAGGACAAATGCTGCCTCACTTCATCTCCTCTGACACCAGACGCTGATTTTCAACGCCATCTGTCTCTGCTCCGGGCCAGGATGCAACAACCAACTCTGTGACAGTTGTCTGCCACTTTGAATGAGACTTTTTTCCCCGGGGGAAAAATAGCCCTTTGTGGGACAGGAGTGCAGCGCTGCGGGCTTGAAAAGGCTTATTTCATCTCGGAGGCATGAATGGCGTTTGCAGTTCATGATCGCCGCGTCAGACCCAGCGCTGTCCCACTGTCACAGCAGCGGGACGTGGATAAACCTCGGTGCAGGCAGAAAGCGTGGCCAGTGCAATCCGCCCATTAACTGTTGTTATTTGCAGGACGTGCTGGACAATCGCGTGAGTCTTACAGCGAAAGGTAAATGCCCTGGTATCGCTCCACCGTGCCGGCGTAGCGCCCAGGGACCCTGCCTTGCCGTGTTTACGGATGCTCGACCCAAAATCCCGGCACCCACGGGCAGCAGGAGCTTCCCACCGCAGTGTTTTTGTCCGGGCTGTTTCAGTGGCGGCCGCGGAGGTTCTGGGGGTGCGCGCGTGGCTCTGGCAGCGCTGGAGCAGCCGGGTCTGCTTTTTCCCTGCCGACTCCAGCTGCGGGGTTAACCCCGGCCGAGCGGCCGGGCGTGTTTGCCGGGGAATGGAGAAGAAAAAAAAGCGGAAAAAAAAAAAAAAAAGAGAAGAAAGCAGCAGCCGCAGCCGGAGGTCCCCGGTCCCTCCCCGGCGCTGCCCGTGTGTCCCCGGCGGTCCCGCTCCGAAGCGGCGGCGCCCCGGGGCCCGCCCCGCTCCCAGCCGGAAGGGCGGGAGCGGCGGGAGCGGCGGCAGGTGCCGCGGGGCGGGAGGGAGGATGGCGGCGGGGGACCCGGAGCAGGCGGTACTGCGGGCGGCTCTCCTACCTCTGCCTCAAGCTCACCCTCATCACCTACTCCCACCTTCTTCTGGGTGAGCGGCGGGGGCGGGCGGGCTGTGCGGGTCTGGGCTCGGAGCGGGGAGTCCCGGACCGCGGTCCCTGCGAACCCCGGGCAGCGGGGTCCCCCCCGCGCCGGGCCCCGGGCTTGGGCAGTCGGTGGATGTTTCCACGGCTGAGGTGGCGGTGTCACGCCGTGGCAGCGCCCCGACCTTCCCTAGGGACTGACGAACTGGTTTTGGCGGATGGGGAGCTGCAGGAGTTGGAAGTTGGGCAGGTAAAAGTCGTCCGTGCGCGTAATTAAAATGCGGCTCTTTCCTCCAGGAGAGATGGGCAGATAGAGCCTTTGCCCTCCAACGTCACTCACCTGTGTATGGGACAAGCCCTCTCCCGAGCCTTGGCAGGATGAGGCTGCGAGGCTGTAGAATTACAGGTGTGTGGCACTTGCTGTCCTCATCCAGGTGCTGGATAAAGCCATTAAGTCGCAGAGGCCAGGCTACGACCACTGACTTCTGACATGTGGCAAATCCACCCAGACCAGGCACCCTCCGGGCTGGAAGGAGCCCTTGGGGCTCTCTTAAAGTACTCTTTGTAAGCACCATGATTTTAAAAGGTGCCTTTTCGGACTCTGGGATACTGGGGTGATGCCGGCTCCAGGCTGTACTGATGTCGGAGGTGCTCAGGCGGGGTTTCTTTCTGGCCCTTTCAGTTTAAACGCTGCTTAAGCTCTTGTTTGGCTGGTCTGTCTCTGTCTGACACGGTGTTTGCCAAGTGGGATGGTAAAGCTTTTAGTGCACTGCGTGGGAGGAGACCTTTAGATCCATCAGGTTTGATAGTAGGTGTCTGATTAGAGATATGATTTAACAAAAAAAGATTGGAACACGAAGCGTTTGGGTACAGTTCAGGCTTTTGGGGATATTGAATATCTTTTGTCTGTCTTAGCAGACAAGCCAACCCTTGGGTTTAGGCTTCTGACACTTTTCCTGCGTTGCTCCGCAGCGGCTATTCCGCAGGTGCGAGTTTCAGGAGAGAGAAATTTGGCGTGTTATTTTCCCCCCCGTGTTTTTGCAGCGAGTCCCTCGCGAAGGGCCGTGCGCGTTGTCTGCTCCGCGTTTTCCACGGGCACCGAGGGCCCTGGGTGCTGGGATGTGAACATTCATCTGGTGGCGGAGAAAGGGCCCTTCTGAAGCGATTCTCGGGGCGTCCGCGGAGGACAAAGCCTCTTTCAGGCAGCCCGAGGATTTTATTTACTCTTTGTAGTTGCTCGCTGTGGATTTTCAATGCTCTGCCCTTGTTTATAACCAAGAGCTTCCATTTGTCGGCTCTGCCGGGGAGATGGTTTGCTCCGGGAGGGAGAGAGGGAGGGGGAGGGATGGGGGCTGCAGGAGGGGGAAGGAAGGCTGGGAATGCTGGCCTTTGCTCGGGGGAAGGAAGGCTGGCGCTGGGCATCATCCCGGGGCCGGGGCCGAACACACCCCGCATTGTGTAAGGGGCAGCCTGTGGGCTCCGCTCGCGAAATTCCCTTTTATTCCAGCTTAGCCAGGCAGATCTCATCAGCTGTAAATGCCACTCGCCTGGTTCTCTTTTCAGCTGTGTGATTCTTGCTGAGTTTGGGTGTTCGTTGGTGTTTTTTTGTTTGTTTGGGTTTTTTGTTTTCAGGGGTTTTTTTAAATTGGTGTAAGTGGAAGTAAAGTTTAGCTGTGGAGTATTGGCTTGCTTAAATTTTGGGTGGTTTGTGATGTTCTGCTGCTGTCTGGGGCTTTGACCTGCTGGATGCTGAGTTCATTCGATTCCCTCCCTGCTGTAGCTGTTTCTCTGGTACATTACGAGCGATGAACGCCCAGATTCGAATCCCCAGGATGGTTTTAAACCACCAGGAACTAAATAATCAGCCTTATCCAAAGCAGAGAGGAAATTAAAACATCACTGGGAGTGTTGGAGGGGATATTTGCTAAGGGCCCTGTGTCTTCTCGTAGGTCTTACCCAGCACTTTTTTAAAAACTGGTTGTCCCTGTAACTTTTCCAGGTAACTCTTCTGCTGGTGCATGACACTGTAATGTAATTTTTCTTGCCCAGCTGAAAGAAAATCCAGCATTTTAAACAGAAGGTGCTGTTGTTGAGCGGCTGCTTTACTTAAGAATAAGTACTGTATATACAGGGTTAAAACCTCTGCTTATAAATAAATAAATGCTTTTGCTTTCTCTTGGGAAAGCAGCTTCTGTGCATGCAAAAGCCCCAGAGAAATCCCCTGGTATTTGCTGGTGGATGCTCATTTAATGTGAGTCAAGGCCAGTTAATTTTCCTGCGTGCACAGCTGGAATTGCCAAACTGGGAGCTGTTAGGAAGGATGCAGGATGTAAACAGCCCCTGTATCGGTGGGTTCCCTACGTAAGAGTTGTGTTTCCAGCCCCAGTCACAGGAAGGGAGAGCACAGGTCCGAGAGGAGACTCGGGTGTGATGACTGCTGAGTTACCACATCTGCTCGTCATAAATAATTGCTGCTGTTGGCTTGACCATATTAAAGGTTCAAAAGATTTTTATTAAATGCATAAAAGAAGTAGAAGATAATAAAAGCATAGATCTTGGAGGCTGTGTGAGCAAAAGTGCAAGTGAAAAGGGGTGAGCATATATGTGTCCAACAAGATGTTATATGTGTCTATACATCTTAAGCTCTTAAAGTGGGAATGTGTCTTGTATTTTACTCACAGGCACCTTTGAATCTCTAAAACAACCAAAAAACTCTGAAATTTAATGTTTTGATGAGAAAACTATGGTTAAGAAAAAGAAAGTTCGATAAGAAGTTCTAGTCTTGAAACAGTGCTCTTCTGAAATTCTGATAATCCTCTTCAAGCTTTAATAGCTGTGGTTTATGTGTCCAGTGTTTGGAGTTTTTTTACTTTTCTAGGCAAGAGTTAGTGTTGATTCTGTTAATGGTATTTCAGGTTTGCAGGAGAATCCAGTTTTGGTTTTTTAAAATAATTTTTAAAAAAATAACAATAATAATAATAGAACTCCCGAGTCATGTGTACAAGTACAGTCCCCAGTTTTAGAATCTGTATTAGGTTTGTATGGTGCTGAGACTTCTTCCTCAACTGTTAGAGCTGCATTTAAAAGTTTCTAACTGATTTATTTTGTCATCTGCTTGAAAAGAAATCAATAATTTATTACCCAAATCACTACATTTTTTTTTAAAGCATGAAGCTGACATTACAAATGGACCATTTAGTAATAAAAAAAACCCCAATTACAGTTTTACAGTAGAAGCATATAAGTGGTAATTTTATTACCTGTTATTTGTCCAGCATGTTTTCTCTTCTGTCATCACTACAGCACAATTTCTGCATTTGTCAGAGGGCGAGTTACTCTCGATTTGCTCCTGTCAAATTTTAAGGTGCTTTTTAAATAGCTTCAGTATATTTATTTTTATGGCTGAGCCCTTCTGAGAATTTTCTTTTAAAATGACAACTTGGTGGCATGCCCCACATATTGTCCTTTGGGGTTATTATTCATTCCCTTAGAAAATCAAGAATTTCCAGTATGTTGTTAATTATTTTAAGATATCCCATAATTAAAAAAGTATTTCAACTGTTTGGCTCGTGTTCTGGTAAATCATGTTGTGTGTTCACCTAGCCCTTTGCCCAGGATATGCCCATGTCATATCCAAAATTAAGAAACGAAATTAAAAATGAAGAAGTATAATTAAGAAGCATTGGTGTGCAGGGAGCAGACCCGTGGAAATGTCAGGTCAGAAAAGGGGAATGTCGTTTATCACATTGCCAAAATGATTTGTATCTGGTCTCTTCCCTGAGAATGTGTCTGGCTGTTGGAGTCAGCAGGAAGGTTTTTCCACTGCAATTTTCATGATTAAGTATTGTGGGCTATTTTTTATTTTAATTAATTCAGCATAATTCAAAGTGATTTGCAACCTGCCATAGGCTTAGTACCAAGTGATTTAATGACTTAACTAATTATTTTGATTGAAATATCTTTACCTTTTTTAAACTAAATATGTTTCTTCTTATTTCACTTCTGGCTTTATCAGGTACTTGCTCAAGAACGTGATGTAACTTCAGACTTGGATTTTTTTTGTTTGCTTTTAATCCAGTGCCTCTCTCCTGATGGCAGGAGTGGAGGTACAGGATATACCTGGCTGTGTTTACTGAGCCTAAATACAATAGGAGCTGGCATGAAGGGATGGATAAACTGTTTGCAGATGGGCTTAGAAACTGTGTTATATTAAATATATATCTATTTATAGATGTGTATTCATAGAGAGAGAGAAGGACAGACAGACACACATTAATGCCATGGCAGTTGCTCATGTATGTCATACATGTGATCTCAGATGAGTAATAAATTACATTTCAACCAGTGTTTCAGTTTGTTTAACTTCTAGCACGCTAAAACATTTTGAAATATATTTTTGAAATAAACAAGTTTGATTTGTTTTTCTTCTACCACAGCTCTTTTTCTGCCTTTGTCTTTGAGTTGTTTTTTTTTTCCTTTCTTTGTCCAAACTTCTGCTTTGTGTGTTTCGCTGTTTATAATGTATCCTGAAGTGAGCAGTCCCAGGCTCCTGTGTGCTCACAGCATGTCACCTCAGTGTTTACTGGGAGAAGGAGTAACATCCGTGCTCTCCTCTGTTTCTGTTCCAGCTCATCGGAGCCCTCGTCCTCGCCGTGGGGATTTATGCAGAAATCGAAAGACAAAAGTACAAAACTCTAGAAAGTGCCTTTCTAGCCCCAGCAATTATTTTAATACTTTTGGGTGTTATAATGTTCCTGGTATCCTTTGTGGGTGTGCTGGCTTCCTTAAGAGACAACTTATGCCTTCTGCAAGCAGTAAGTGCTGCGACTTTTATTCCTGATTTCCAGTGCTTGTTGCTTCCGCTCTTCAGTGCCCTCTGAATTCACACCCCATAACTATGTCTGCATTGAAAAATATTTTAACAAAGTTGCTTTATTTTAATTAAATCTGAATTTAATGGCAGTGATCCCTCCATCAGGGAGCAGTAGCCAGCGACAGGACCGGCGAGGGTCTGACCCCTGTGCTGAGAAAACCAGCTTCCCAGTAGTTAAGGTTTTTATGGAAAATACCCAGGAATGTTTATTATTGTCAGTCAGTGTGTATGTTGTGCAAACTCAGCTGTTGACATACCATTTGACACTGGCTTCTCATTTGGACCTGGAGGAAGGATCTCAAGAAGGAAACCCTGGCTCAGGCTGATGTCTGGTGGTGGCTGGAGTCTGTCTGTCCTCCCCGAGAAGCAGAATGTAGGGGTAGATGTGGAAATGCATGGTACAAGGTTACCTGAGTAGCTTGGGCCTTTGAGAGAAGGGCCCTGAGGGTGAAATGAAAGGGACAAGGTTTTTCTCTCCAGTGCCTCTGAAAGAGTAAATTTTAGGGGAATTCCTGGATAATGCTGTGGTTGCACATGCGACTAATTAAAAATAAAGTGTGAAAACATCTTTTTCACCTCCACAGAATCATAGATAGTTTGGTTTGGAGGGGACCTTTTAAAGGCCATCTAGTCCAACTCCCTTGGAATGAGTAGGGACACCTTGCACTAGACCATGTTGTTCAAAACCCAACCCAGCCTGGCCTTGTCATGCCAGCTCAGTCCAATGAAATTCTGAATACGTGGTATGTTGTGGGGGACCACAACACACAAAGCCAGAAGTAACGGTGGATTCTGAAATGATGCTGGAATTTTGCTGAGATCCCATCCTTGGGCTTCTCTCCCACTGAGTGTGGTGGTGTGTCTGATGCTGAGAACATTTTCCATTCCCATTCTGGTAGCAAACCCAGATGGGTATTTAACAAAGCCAGTCCCTGATTCCTGCTTCTCAGGCTGATTCCAGATTTAGCAGGAGAAAAGATACTGTCTGGTGAATTCGTGACACTGATACTGGGCACAGAGCACACAGAAGTTAAACCAGCTTTCAGAGGTGAGCATCAGGGGTTATTTTCAGACGAGGGATCATAAAACTCCGTTCCCGATGAAGTTCATTGTTCCACAGCAGACCCAAATTCACATAACAGCCATCTTTTATGCCTGAAGCGTTGGAAAAACATTTCAAGTGCTGGTACCTTGCAACCATCTCATGGTGCTGTGGATTTCTTCATGTTATTCGTATTTTGCACATGCTTGGATGAGCAGCCACGGCTGCACATGTGGTGTGAGTGCATCTGTGAGCATCTGCAGGTACACACACAAATAAATGTGTACAGCAGCACACTAAAAGGTACTGAGCCTGGAACTTTGCTTTGATTTAGCACTGGCAATTTAGTGGAAGGTGGTTTGGATTATCTTAAGGTGCTGTTTCACCCACTAATTGAAAGCAAACAGGTAAGCACTGGTTTTGTAGGAGACATAAAACCATGAAGTTTTGTAGCAGTCCATCAGTGTGCTTCTCTGCGATGCTGTTGTGGAAAGAAGTGTCTCGGCATGATAAATACATCTAATGGTTTTGAGTCCATTCAAAGCAGACAAATAACGCGTTTGCCAATTGGGCAAAACCCAAAATAACTCAAGCAAGGAAAAAAGGCTTTCTCGTGACATGTAGAGTTTTATAAGAACAGACCCATAATTTCATATCTTCTTTTAAAATGCCATCTTCTTTGCTGAAAGCCAGATCTCTTGGCAACTGAATGTTAGACTTAGGGGCACTAATTGAAAGAATAATTGAGGTTTGTTCTGTCTAATGACTCACTTGCACTTGTTTTTCTGCAGTTCATGTACATCCTTGGTATCTGCTTGCTGATCGAGCTGACCGGTGGAGTGGTGGCCCTGATCTTCAGAAACCAGGTGAGCTCCTTGTGTTTAGGTTTTGATCACAGAGAACGTGACTTAATATCCATGAAGTTACAGGTGTGCAATATAAAAGGTGTTAAAATTGTCACTGGGCAGTAATTGATGGAGATCTGAAGAAAGCTCCAGGCTTTTCAGGGCCTTCAGGGTTCAGCAGTGGTGGGATTTGCCATTCATCTGCTCTGGAGATGAATTCCAGATTAAAGAATTTGAAGAAAATCTGGTAACTACGAGTGTGCAATACAGGCAAAACGTGTTTCCAGCTCTTCGTGTATTACAGAGTGCTTTCTTCTGTTTTGCCATCTGGGTCTGACTGCTGATTTGGGAAGTTTCCAGATGGATTTGGAGACTTTATTTTTTAGTGCCCAAAATGTTTTACCTCACCTAAAGGACAGCTTTTCCCTGCCCACATCCATAAGCAACGTAACTAATTTATATAGGAGACTCCATCATTCACAACCATGCTATTACTATATTAAAACCTTGGATTTTTCTAGACAGAAAGCAGCATACTATTCTTTTCAGTTAGAAATGCTTTAAAACATAAATGTATTCGCTATGGCAAGTACTGGATTGCTGTGGTTTGATTTATTTTTCTAATCTTGCAAAATATGAGCATTAAAAGGAGATGCTGAATAGTAAGATATGTTCCCTCCCCAGCCCAATCCTACCAAGCTCATTTTCCACAAAAGCCATGTGGCTTTACCACATATGTACATGTGATATTAAAAAAAACACCACCAAACTTAAAAAAAGATTTTTTTTTAAAAAAAGCAATAACTTTGTATTTTGAGGTAATACTGTGTTCTCTCTGGCTGGTGCTTTCTTCTTACTCCATACTGGACCAAAGCAGGACAGCTGTGCTTAGGGACAGGTTTCTTTCTTTGTTTTTCAAAGTTAATGGAGATGTTCAGGTCAGTATGGAGAGGACAAGGAAGTATTTATAAAAGCTTAGGGTAGCAGCCTCTACTGAGGTGCTGTTTGTCTTGCATGTCTCACTGATTTTTTTCCCCAGTTCTTTCTCTACTGCCTTCTCAGATCTGTAGGGTCTTGGTGAGTTAGGATGGTCCTGCAAGTTGTTATTTCTCATCACCAGTGTGCTAATGCTTTTTGTTCTGGTTTGTCTGTAAGTGTTGCAGTTTGTAATACTGAGAAGACGAGTAGGTGTATTTCAGGTTTTCTGACCTATAAGGGTTTTTAGGTTTGGGCATTTTAGCAGCTGGATTGAAAGGGAAGTCGTTACATTCTGGTCATGATTAGTCCCTGTGTTTGCTGTGCTGTGATTGGTCTTGAAAACCAAATACTTTTTTCTTTGTCCTCATCTTCTGAACTCTAAAGATGTTTTATTGCTTAAATTTCTAATTTGCCATGCTGAGGAGATACCATCTTATATCTGCCAATCCGCTGCCATATTTCTCAAAAGAACCACTGTAAAACGTGCAGATATACTTTTTTCCTGCTTAAGGTGAAATAAAGCTCCTTATCTGGCAGTTATGGACTCCTTGTAAAATCAAATTAGTGGAAAATTCGCAGAAAATAAAATTTATGGAAGGTGGTGTTGTTGCTCGGGGTGTGGTGCAGACCCAAGATCCACTGTTCTGTCACCCAAGTGGTGGTGAGGATCCCAAGTGCCCAAAGGGAGGGATCCTGCCTGGGTATAACGGGACCACGTCTGGGAGGTGCTTGGAGAGTCTCAGAGAAGAGAAGTGTTGCACTGTTGGCACTTCCCATCACAAACCCAGCAGTGTGGCTGCTTCCATAAGAAAGAACAGATGGTTGGTCCCTGCAGGGCTGAGCTAAGATTTGTTTTTAACTAGGGTTTGTTTTTCCTTAAAGAAAAAAGCCTTTTCTTTTGTGCCCATCAGTTACACCTGTCACTTTAACCTGCTCTTCTAATTTTGTTTCTGTGTGTGCAACCCACGAATCTTGTTCTCCTTTTGCTTTTCAGACAATCAAGTTTTTGAACGATAACATTAGAAGAGGAATTGAGAATTACTACGATGATTTAGACTTCAAGAACATCATGGATTCTGTTCAAAAGCAGGTTTGTTGTTGGGTTTTTTCCCTGGGACTAACCTGGTGCCGAGATGCAGCAGGTCCTCGGCAACAGCTTTGAGTTTTTCTGGTGATGTGATAATCAAGTTGTCCCTGATGAGGGGGGTGGGATCTTGTGTGTCTCTGTTCTGGTCTCGCTGAGATCAGGGCTCATCCAGCATTCCAGCTGGCATTTAAAACCCTCTACATCACTGCAAAAACAGGGGGCCAAAATGCAGCTTTTGCCTTGGCAGGTGCAATTCAGATGCTCAAGGTCAGATCCTACAAACACGTGGGCTTATGGAGGCCCCACAGCTGGATTCAGACAAGCTCAGCCTAAATTCCACCCAAGGCCTTGCACTCAGTGTTTCTGCTGGTCCAAGAGATTCAGAAGCATCTCGTTAACAGGAGGCACTGGATAAAGAGAATTGAGGTGGCATTTAGGCTGTTAGAACACAACATGTTGTGTTCTCACTTGAGGGCACCCAAAGAGCTCTCCAACAAGGTGGTTATTGGAAGGAAATGCCCGTGGAACTGTATATACCTGTAATTAAACTTCAGAAATGCTGTTGAGCCCAGCTGAGCATTACTTAATGGCATGTGAAGTTGACTCATAGCCTTTTTTTTTTTTTTTTAATAAGCTGGTCTGTTGAAATGTTTATTGGGTTATTGAAGAGTTCTGCCATGCAGTTCAGAGACTATAGAAGAAGCAGAAAATGTTCAGAAATGTGATGTCAGGGCCCCTGTGATGTCCGTGACTGTGCCAAATAATTATTAAAAAAAAAAAAAATTAACTTAGGAAGTGTTACATGTGTTTTAGGACATCGTTATGGAGATGGCAGCCTGCTTTGAAAAACAAAGTTAGCATGGAAAGTCTGTCAAAAGCAAACCATCCCGAGGAAATTTTGTCATTAGACTTCATAATGCTTTAAACTTTCCATGCACTGCCCAAAGTTATGGATACATACAGCCAGTATACATCTTACTGATTAAATGAACTGCTGCTTTTCCCTTTGTTTAAATTATAAAGTGAATATTTGTATGAAGTCAGCATAAACTTACAGTATTTGTTTGTCAGATTTCAGTTCTTCTAAATTACACTCACAATGTTTTGGTGAGATTGATTTATGCCTTATAGCAATGCTTTTGTCTTTTAGACCCAGTTGGAAATGTAGTCATAATCCTTCAAGCAGCTGCAGAAATTTATTACAGGTCAAGATAGAATGAATTTAAAAACATTGCTTAGTGATGTCCAGACCCGGAAAGATAATTTTTCAACTTGGAAAAGATGGGAAGTGGAACTTACACCTTTACTTTGCTCTGGCACCCCAGCTCAATGAATGATGGAGGAGTGCCACTTATATCCATAATTCTTTTTAATTCTGTCTATAATATACATTCATATGTGCCTTGCTGACAAAAGGGCAGATTTTTTGGGTGGCTCAGGGCTTTTTAAATTGTTTTATTCTACCTTTGTTTTCTACTTATTCAAAGAGTTCAAGATACAATTTTTTCCCCCCCTTTTACCTTTTAGAATCATAGAACCATTTAGGTTGGAAAAGACCTTTAAGATCATTGAGTTTTGTGTTGGTTTTTTTTCCAGTTTAAGTGCTGTGGTGGGGAAGATTACAAGGATTGGTCCCAAAATGCCTACCACAGCTGTGGGGCGCCGGGCCCGCTGGCCTGTGGGGTGCCCTACACTTGCTGCATCAGAAATAAGGTAAGTCCTGGCCCCTCAGCATCACTGGGGTTGGCTTAGAAAGGTACCTTACTTTAGGAATTCTGGGGTGAGAAGTGAAGGAAAATGGGTCCTTCCCTCCCCTAATGGATCTGTGGGTCTTGACAGCTTGGAAAGGAGAAAATAAAATGAGTTAGATGTGTTGGCTCTGCTTCATTGTACTGACCCACCACACAGCCCCAGAAGGGATCTTGGGAGCTCCTCTAATCTCATGGCGAGCCTGAACAAGAGCTGCTTAAAGTTTTGCTGGTGTTTTCCCCAGGGTTTGCTGTTCCAGCTTTGCCAGGAAGCCTGGGCCCTGATTGCTTCCGTGGGTGGGGGTTGCAGTGATGTGCACCAGCTGCTGTGTGAGTTAAAACCCAGAGTGACCTCGTCATCCAGATTATTCCAGAAATGTGGGCAACTGACCTAGGGTCAGGGCATGCTTGTGGACACAGGTCTAGACTGGAGCTGCTGCTCGGCCCTAACCTGTCCTTGAAAACTACCTGCCTTCCCACTCTCTAAAATCCTGGAAGGACTGGGGTCTGGACCAGTTTCTCCATCTATGATGAACTGGTATTAACTGGTGCTGACAGCAGGAGGAGCAGGCATTGAGTTTCATATAAATATGTTTCAATCTTATAATTCATTGCTCTTTGAGGGATGTACAATGCTGAATTTGATAAAGAATTATTCCTCAATTTAAAACCAGTCCAGGCAATCCCTGCCTCGCTGGGTTTTTGTCTTTGTTCTGAACACAGAACAAAGAGAAATTGAGGCAGAAAAATTGAGTGTGTAAGAGGAGACACAGCAGAGCTCGTGGTGCCTGCTGTGGCTGCTTTGGGCTGCCCTCTCAACATCTGCCTTGAGCACGGCTGTTTAATTACAAACAGGGAAAATAAACGCAATAGCTGCATCAGTAGGTGTTCCTGAGAAATGTGTCTCATATGAAGGTGTTTATTACATGTGCTTACACATTTTTGGTGCGTGAGAAAGGGTCTGTTTAAATCCGTGGTGAGCTTCTCAGGAACCAAAGCTAAACAGTTTTGTTCTCAGGAACCAAAGCTAAACAGTTATGCTTTGAGTCTTGGGTGTTTGAGAGTAAGAAATTTGTGTATATGAAGATGGTGTCTGCTGATCTGCAGACAGAACTGCATGGAGCAGAAGAACTCAGGATTTTGCCCTCAGGAAAGGGAAAGCACTAAAATAAAAACTTCTCCAAGGGAAAATATACTCTCCATGTGCTTCACTGACAGCTGGAGATGGGAGGGTGAGGCTACTTGTAAAGTGGTAAGCTCAGGGAGGTTAGTTGAGAGGCAAGGAGAAGCCCCCAAATCATAAACAAGCTTCATATTTAAGCACAGGCTGTTGATCAGGATGCTGCAGTGCCTTAGGGCTCATGGCTTTGCCACACTCATGGTGTTGCTGGGCCTTGTGGAGTCCGAGCGGCGCGGATGCTGCTCGTCAGGGTAACACCAACACCGGGCTGCAAGGATGGCTGCCTCGGGGAAAAGCCAACCAGAGGATGCATAAATCTTGTATGTTTGACAAATGCTTCCAAATACAGGCTGTTTTCTCTCCTGGAAAGCCACAGATATGGTTTGTGATTACTCACTGGCTTTGTAGTCATGGAAAACTCCTGCTAATGTTGGAGGTTGGATTCTGATCCTCTAAAAAAGCCTTCTGCTAACATGAGCCAGGCTCACACTGGGGGGGCTCTGAAGGAGCTATGTTTAAGTCAAAGTATTTATTAAAGACTTACACTAGTGTAGCAGATAAAATTTAGTCCCAAATGCCTATAATCTTCTGTTTCTAATGCATTTATCTCTGCTGTGTGTATTTGCTTGTGCCATGATGTGCTGTTTGCAAATGCTGTTTCAAATGAAATGGTTCAACTGCATTCTTTGTGGTCACGTATTTTGGGGGTGGTTGCATGTTTTGGGGGTGGTCCCAGGGTGCTCGAGTGGTTTGGGAATGTGAAATCACTCACAGCCAACACAACAACACGCTGGTGCAAACGCTGACTTCCAAGTGTATTTATTCCCTGTGGTTGGCAGATGGGTGCTCCTCACGGTTTCCCAACAGCCCTGTGAAATAGTTGGAGCTTTTTCTTCTAGGAATGTGCTGAGCCTTGTTTGTCAGACAGTTGTGTGTTCAAGGTGGGAGCCCAGATTTTGGGGGCTTAAGAACTTTGACACTGGCTGGTGTTTCTGCCGCTTGGTAACATCTGTCTTTTGCAAACATCCCTCTTCCTTCTTGGGAAGGTGACCTGGGAATCCCAGGCTGCCACTCAGAGACCACCAGCATTTAGAAATCTTCATTCCTACATCTTGTTTTAATTTTGGTGAAGGGGTATTCAGTTGCCCAGAGTAGCTGTGGCAACAGAGTAGCTGCCCCATCCCTGGAAGTGTCCAAGGCCAGGTTGGATGGGGCTTGGAGCAACCTGGGATAGTGGAAGGTGTTCCTGCCCATGGCAGGGGGTGGAACTGGATGGTCCAACCCAAACCATTCTGTGATTCTCTATCAGTAACGCAGTTTGTTCTGCCTTATTTCTGTCATTTACATATTCTCATTTTCTCCCATGTCTTTGGCTTTGTTTGCTGCTTTCTTTGATGCTGGTGGGCTTTATGTTGGATGATTTGTGAGTGAGGGAGGGTTGTTTTCAGGTTAGCTTTGCCAGGCCAGGTAGAACTGTGGAATCCACAGAGAATATTACATGGCTACAGAAAATGTGTTAGTAATTTGTGGTGAATGCAAGCACTCAGTCTTTTTAAAATATATAGATTTTATATTCATATATATAATGGTATATAAAATGATTTTGTAATAAATTTAGTCTTGTAAAATGTTCATAGAAGCATTCATAGTATTGGACATTATTTGAAGCTTAGATATTTCTGAGCTTAAATTTGTCATCATGATGGCATGAAGGCCATTTTATGTTAACCACTGGTTTTCTTAATAAGATGTGTTAAGTTATTAAGGCTTTAAAATGAAACCCAGCTGTTCGTTCTGTGGAACTGCTGTGTTGTAGCTCACTTTGGTTGCTGATGCCACGCTGGTTTTGCTGGATAGATATGGCTCAAATGTGTCGTGACACACTGACAATACTCATTTCTCTGAAATCAGCTACTAAATCTGACCCTGGGCCTGCTGGAAGAAACTGGTGTTGGACTGGGAAATAACCCTGTCGCTGGTTTTGTATGGGCTGAAAGAGTAAAAATAATGTTTTTGTAATTTTTATTTTCTGCTGCAGCTTGTATTTGTTGTTTTCTTTTCAGACAGACATTATCAACACTATGTGTGGATACAAGACCATTGACAAAGAGGTAACGTAACCAGTGTCCACCCTGCCATGGCAGAGGGTGCTGCTTCTCTGCATTGTTTTTGGTCAGTTGTAAAGTTGTCTTCTGCATGCTTCAATCTGCCAGACAGTTAAATCAGCAATTAAAATGTTTGTGGGGTTTTTTCTGGAATAACTTCCATATATTAAAACAGGTAATCTTGTTTGATTGTGGTATCTTCCCTTCTTTGTATTTTCCATGATTTCTTGTTTCATGACAACTCCCCCAAGCTAATTGCACAATTAATGCACAAGAAACTGCTTTCACACTTTTAAGCAGTGACTTGAGTTGGGGAAAGCTTTTAATACTTAAAAGCCAAAGTTTCTCACTGAGTAAAATCGGTGTTAGTAAAGCCAACTTAGCTGTTTCTAAGTATTTTGTATCCCTGTAGTGGGTTTTTTATTTTTAGGCCTGTAATAGTTATTCCTGGAAGAAGAGCGGGACTTCCCAGGTTGTGTTGGCAGCCCTCTCCTCCCTCCAGGAGCGGGATGGGGCCTCCTCCTTCAGCCTTCCCTTTTGGGAATAGCCCTGGTGACTCCAGAGGAGAGACTGCCAGCTCAAGGCAGTAATTGCAGAGTGATTTAGAAGGGAAATCAGTAATTGGATCTGCCCTGAGTTCTCCACTCCTGGCTCTGGAGTGCTGGTGTGGGGGCTGCTCCAGGAAAGCCCCTCTCCCCAGCTCATTTGAGGCACTTGGAGCACAATGCCAGCCTCGTTGTTGGGTTTTGGGATTACTGGTTATCTTTACACACGACTTGTCTTCATTTAGGTTAATTGATTTACTGCTTAATCACCTGAACGCTCCAGCCTGGCTCCAATGCCCCAAGCACTTAAGCATATGCTTAACTTCACCCCATTCATCTGCTTAGGACCCTCTGCAGCCTCAAGTGCTTTCTATATTATGGGTTGGGGTCACGGAGCAGCACAGCTTGCAGGACTGAATCTCAAACCCTCTTGTTCCTGCCCTTTTTAGAGTCTATTGCAAAGCACTTGGTCCACAATTTATATTTTTCCACTGCTGTACTTTCAACTTGGAAGAAGAGATGAAAGCCGAAGGGAGACTCCTCTTCTTTCAAAGTGGTCTCAAATCAGAATTGGATGCATTTCTTGTAGAAAAGTGTCTGCAAAACCGGGTTTAAAGCAATAAAATAACTTATTTAAGTGTGGAACAACTTAAAAAAAGAAAGGTTTAAAAAAATAACTTGTGGAGGTGTGGAACAACTTAAAAACAGATGGAAGGATTAGCAGTGAGGTCTCTGTTAAATGCAGTGGGTTTAAAGAGGTGGGAAGGCGAACCAGATTTGCCTCCCTGAATTTTGAGTGTCACACAGCAGTGGAACTGCCTGTTGAATGCTCACTCCCTTATTTTGCAGCGCTTGAGTGTTCAGAATATTATCTACGTCCGAGGGTGCACGAATGCAGTGCTTATCTGGTTTTTGGACAACTACACCATCATGGCTGGAGTGCTGCTCGGCATATTGCTACCCCAGGTAGGGAGAGGGCACTGCCTTATCCACTGAAGGGAGCATCTGATTTGTTGCTACAGTATGTGAAATCCCATTTGATGTAATGTAGCTGATAAGCTGAGGCGGCATTCTGGTAATTTAGTAGCATTACTGCCATATGTTGCAGGATTTGGTGGGGTAATTTGCTCTTGCTTGGGGTTTTTTGAGTCCTCTCCTCCTCAAGCTGCATCCACTGAGATTTTCTAATGCTCCAAAGGACAGGGGTGCTAATTCTTCTGCTGTTTTAGTTCTTCACAAAAAGTATCCATTTATACCGCTATATGAAAAGTGAATTTATATATATATATATATTTACACACGCCACTGCCCGTATATCCGACGTGTATACACAGTTTGCAAAGCCTGCTGCAAGAAGCACGAGACAAGCCTCCTGTGAGCTCTGAGTGGAGATCTCCTCCTTTTGCAGTTCCTGGGCGTGCTGCTGTCCCTGCTGTACATCACGCGCGTGGAGGACATCATCACGGAGCACAAGCTGGGCGAGCGGCTGTTCCTGGACGCGCGGCACAGACCCGCGCCCGAGCTCGGCGGGGCCGGCTGCTGCATGTGCTACCCGGGGTGACTGCGGGCCCCCCGAGAGCAGTGAGAGCCGGGCGAGCCCTCCTGGTCTGGCACGTGCTGCTGTCACGGACCGGCGGCGGTGCCACAGTGCCCTCGGGGTGTCTGCGCCCACAGACGCCCCAGAAGGGCCCCACGCTGCTGCCGCCGCCGTGGGATCGCGGCGCTGCCGCAAGGTGGGTTCGTGGATCATTAAATCTCCTTTTTGAGTGATTGCTGAGTGATACAAAGCCAGAGCAGCTGTTCTGGGGAGATCGGAACGTCGATTTCTGGGAAGCGTCTTCGCGCCTTGGGATGTCGTATTTCAATGTGTGTCGTTCCCAGCCTTATTTTCTTACTCCTTCCAAGAGAGATTTCTTACCGATCTACGTGGTGATTATTAAACATACGTTTAATAAACGTTTTTTTGCTAATCTGGATGACTTTACTGACAATAATGGATGTGATGCTGATCGCTTTCATTGCTCAGTTTTCTGTGCCTTTTAATAATGGGGCAAATGCCAACGTGGAATTAGTCAGGAAATGCTTGATATATTTTTTTAATGCAATTTATTACTGTCTGGCTTTTGTATAAACTTACAAGATGTTTGAGTTTTGGATATATCTTTCCTCTTTAGTAAATTAACTAGGTGATTTATGACTTTCTGTTTTTTTGGAGTTCTGTGTGTCAAGATGTTTCTAAATTTTATTGTCAAAATAAAAGCAGTAAGTTGTTTTTCTTAAAAAAAAAAAAAAGAAAAGAAAACAAAAAACCACAAAGATTTTGTCTGATATGCTTTTCATTTTCTTATGTAAGTTAAGGCTGTCCCTCAAATGCTGAATCCAAAGGTAGAAATAGGTGGAGCTGTGATTCTGGCTTGGGTGCTGCCTGCCTGGGCTTTTGGAGAGGCACTGAACATCTGTGCCTCGCTTGCTTCTCTTAGTGAATTGGGGACAATACTTGGGAGTCACCAAGAGCTCTGGGGTTTTTGTTGGTGTTCCTTTGTCCTGAGCATTTCTCTGCAGTCTCTCCAGCCCCAGCAAGGCTTGCAGGCAAAATGCAAAACCTAATTATCACAATACTTCAAATAAACCAAAGACAGGAAGAGAATAAAGCAGGTTTATATTCTCAATCTAAATCTCTGCTTTTCTGAACAGTCCACTAAGACAAACAGAGCAATATCTGATATTATGCTCCTTGCTAGTTTTTGGTTTTGTTGTTGTTGTTTGTTTTGGTGTGGTGTTTGTTTTTTTGTTTTTTGTTTTTTTTTTTTTAATTTCCTTGTCCTGGACATTTTTTCTGGTTTTTTTTCAAAACTCAGTGTTTTCTGTTTAGCTCTCTGCCTTCACCAAGAATTTCTGAGGAAGCTTTATGCATTTCCAGGAGCCAGAAGGGACTCATCCAGTTCTTTGGTGTTCCTGCTGGTTTCTAGGGAGAGAGACCTCACGGCGTTATTTCCTACACAGCACACTCTAGCGTCGGGTCCTGCACGTGGTTGTTACATATTTCAATTACTCCATATCGTTGTTGCCTAAATCTTCCTGGGGTCTGTCTTGAATAACGTGCTTTGGTAAGTTAGGAAACGAAGTGTGTTTTAAGGGGTAGGTTTGTGTACAAAGAGAGGAAGAGGAAAAGGAGGGGCAGCTTGGGAGGACGGAGCAGACTGCTGGAGAAGGATGGGAAAATTAAAGCTGAAACTGCTTTGTTGTGGAGAGTGAGCTGGGAAGGTGAGAATTCTCCTTTGATGACCGAAGTAATTTTTTTTTCATTACCATTAGTGTCTTGTAAATGTTGTGGTGGCTTGAAATACGAGCTGTCCAGGAAAGCAGGAGGTAATGGAAGCATGGTTAAACTTTGGGTGGTTTAAATGAAACTGGGAGAGTCTTTGGGAATACCAGAGAGCAGTTCTCCTTTAGCAAGGAAATTTGTGGGCTGCACTGAATTTTCAGCCATCCCCAGTTTTCATACACAGTGTTTGCATGGGAATGGTGTCTACCTGACAATCACGAAGTCAACCCGGATGATTTTGTTTAATAAATTGATTCAAAGAAGTTTAGTAAGTTGATTGAAAAGCTTGACCTTTCCCATTCCCTCAGATTTGAGGAAATTAACTCTTGGCTTCACAGGCCCATGGTGACCAGAGGGAAGGATGATGCCTATTGGGAGGTGGCTGGAGGGAGATGCTGCAGTTCTCTGCTCAGCTGCCTTTTCCAGACAGATGACGTGAAAGTTGGCTTTAATGGGTGAGGAATGCTGATCTAATTCAATCCCTGTCCTCCTGGCTGGGCTGCTCCTCATAGATGCATCCTTAACCTGATTTTAAGAAAATGTTCCTTGCCTGCTGTTGAAAAGACTGAGGCAACTCTGCAAAATCCCAGAGCTATGGAATTTTTTTTGTGTGTGTAATTTTAAAGCACCTTGACAACTGTGAGCTTCCCGGGGTTCATCGTCCATGTGCTCCTGCTTTCCATCACCATTCAGCTAGAAACAGAGGTTTGCCTCTATATTTCAAATAACTAGAGGCCATAGAGGCACAGACTTGGGGTGCCTGGCTGGAGCATCGTGCACAGTATGTGCTGTATATGCTGCTGCTGGAACATGATAAAACCCTTTAATTAGCACGGATCCGGAGGAGAAAGGCCGAGCAGCTCTCCCTCTGCTGGTGCGGGTGTGTCATATCGCAAGACACGAGTTAAGTCCCTGCTCGCTGGAATTAAATCTCTGCTCAGTGCATCCATACAGCACAAGGCTTCCTCCATTGGCCCTTTCCCCTGCCCTCCTTCAAGAAACCCCTTTGTGCCGGCACAGCTTCCATGGGAATCCCTCCATAGCCCTGAACCTCTGCAGAGATTATCATCTGTTTGTGAGGGACACTCGGGATACGACTGCTGGTTACAGCTTCACCTGGAAAACCAGCCTGGGAGGTGGGATGAGCTAATTTCCTCTCGATGGGGGAAAAAAAAATCAGTGTTTAAGGTCTAAAAAAACATTTCGCTAAAAGTTGATTTGCAGATTTGTGTTCCTAAAGCCCTTTTGTTCACTAGGACTTCCCAGAGTTCCTGACATTTCTGCACCAGCTGATCATTCAAAGGTTCTTGTATGGGTTCAGGAATTGTTTTTTGATAAGAAATAATGTGGATGTTCCACCACAGGGAGCCGGTGCTCCCACTCATGGGGATCCTGTGGGCTCTGCTGGGCCAGGGAGATCAGCCCGACCCCAAGGACATGAGTGGCACGTGAAGTTGCTTTGGGTTGACATCCTCATTTGATGACTGTGCCTTTTTGGAGAGGGAGGGCAGTGCTACTGTTTATGATGTCAAATTGACTTTCAGTCCATTGTGCTGCTTAAAACTGATGCAGCTCCATCTCTTTTTGCACTTGGGATAGAAGTACTGCTTGGGAAGTTCAGCTCCTGGCCTGATGGGTGTCTCTGCAGCTCTAAGGGATTACATCTGGCCCCACAGCAGCAGGAAGAGCCCTTGGCAAAGGCAGCTGTTAAATCCACTCGAGAAAGTGAGAGCCGTTTCCAGCCTGTTTCCAAGATGCTCTTTGAAGGAGGTACTTTTTTTCCATGGAAAGTTTTGTCCTTGATGAAGAGGTGAAAGCCACCATCCTGGGAAAGAGCTGATCTGCCTGGGATGTGCACACCAGGGCAACGCCACCTCATCCCCCTGGGCATTGGGTACTGGTTTGCTGATCCCAGCCCCATCCCAGTGCTTGGACATTTTCTGTGGGTCAGCCCCACGGCCTCTGGGATGGGAGGTTTTGCCTGGGGAAGCACAAGGAGCTCCTGGCACTGGCTGAGCATGTCTTGCCACAGTGCTCCCAGGGATGCTCAGGGACTCCACAGTGGGATCCGTGCAGGGCTGATCCCTTGGCTGGAGCAAAGCAGGAGCAGCACCATCAGTTCCAGCTTGAGGCTACAGCTTCCTGGGTGAAAATAAGCATAGCAACTCCCTGAGGGATTTGGAGGGTGCTGGGGAAACAGAATAGGGTGTCAGATGAGGAAGGAGTTCTCTGAGGTCCCTGGAGCTACGTGCAGGCACTGGCAGAGCTGCTGAGCTGCTGTGGACTATTGGTTCTTGGAGACATCTGTGTGCAGGACTCGGAAGTTTCTGTGTGTTTTCAAACATAACTGGGTTTTGCTGGCTGGGACAGCTGACTCCTCCCCATCTCTCCCAGGGTGGGTGTTGTGTGCTCTTGGGTGCTGTGCAGCACACTCCTTGGCTGGGATGGGTAAGTACAAATTCAAAGGGCTTCATGCTGGGGCTGGGAAAAGTGGCCATGCCAGAGGAGCAGTGCAAACCATGCCTGAAGCTTGGCTACAGGCTGTGATGAGTCAGGGAACATGGTCCTCTGGAGGGATGGCCAAATCCATGGCAGAAGGGGAGAAGATGCAGGTAAGGAACTTCAGTGTGAGTTCTGAAAGCCTTGATCTTTCCTATCACAAGCCTGCAGGGGGTGACCCTCAACCCCAGACCGCTGCTGCTGGTGCTCATGGTGAGTTTGGCAGCCCTCACATTGGAATCAGGCACGTGCAGGGCTGTGTTGGGATGTGCCTTTGCCTCTCTTGGGTCTTCTCCTTGCCCTTCTCTTGGTGGTGAGGCACTGTGCAGCTGCAAGTCCTCTTGGCTCATCCAAGGAGCCCTCCCAGGGTCCCTCTCCCTGCACATGGGGCTGGGAAGCATGTGGGCACAGCTCTGGGAAGGTCCCTGTCCCAACAAAGGGGACAGATGCTGGTGCTGTGCTTGTGCTTCCCTCAGCTGAGACCATGGCTCAGGTAGAAGTGGTCCCCAGCTTCCCATAATTTGGCGTTTCCTAAAATAGTGTTGGTTCTTCAGAAAAGGGAGGCGAAATATCCAAAGCCCCCAAGACAGCTCCATGTCTGGGCTTCATTCTGTTCCCAGCCAGCTGTTAGGTTATTTCCATATAAGATGTATTTGTGCTGCAGAAAGCATCTGATCCACCTGAGGAAATGAGCTCTGTCAGGAATACTCTCTCTCTCAGCCCAGGATACGTGTGTGTGTCATGGGGTCATTGCACAGCCCCCATCCCAGGAGCAGGGACAAAGGGACCAGGATGGATGGGATGTGCTGTTTGAGCATCCCATGGCAAGCAGCCTCATTGCCCGGCAGTGGAAGGAGAGGCT